CCCCAAAACCCCAAAACCCCAAAACCCCTATTGAGGACTCACAAATTGAATGAAAATGAATATTATTAGGATAAAAACAAATCTGAAGTCATCCGGTCCAGATCTCCAACTTCTCCACAGTTTTGGTAAAACGAAAGAATATTGGTGATCATCTTCGTGACTCGGTCTCTGTACTCAGGCTTGATCTCTGGACTGTACACTTCCATGAAGTTGGTGTACACGAAGTAGAACATCTGGGCTGTCAGGGGGTGTTTCAGGAAGCTCACGAACTTGCGGTCGTTGTACTTCTCAACAGCAAAGTAAGACTCACTGGTGCGCTCGTCGCCATCCAACACTTTGTTGAGAGTTCAGTAGTGGGTCTGGTGGAAATACCTGAACAAGTGGTAGTCTTGTAAGTCATCTTCGGAGGCGTCGAAGCACTGCATTTCGCTGAAAATCTTCTGTACTCAGGATACCATGCCTTGCTTGCTCTTGAACTCTTTGCTGCTGAAGCGTTTTCTGAACAAAATTCTGTAGAATTCACGGAGGTCTCTGAGGATTTTCTTTTTGAAGGTGTCTGCTCTCTTTTTGCCTCAGATCGAAGCAGTACGTTCTCGCTTCTGTGTCAAGTAGTGGACCCACTGTGGCAGCACTGAGTCGTGGATCAGGTCGTGTAGACTTGTGTACACTTCAATTGTGTACTTGGAGAACTCTTTGGGTATATCTTCTAAACTATGAGTGGGAGGCTTTACTCTGAGAGAAATTGTCAGGGACGAATTCATTTCTGAGATGGGCATCCAGATGTTTCAATTTGAGCCTCTAAAATCAGGTTAATGCCAACAAAAACAGAGCAAAACACCTGACACAAAGTCGGGTGTATCCAATGCAATAAACACTTAAAGTAAAGTTGAAATGCAGGCTAAAGAGATCCAGAGTACTGAAACTAGAGAGTTGCTAATAATTCGGCCAAGAAATTTGTTTCTTGAAAAGCATGTGACGTATCACTCATTTATATAAAATCGAAAAGAAGCTCCAGAGCCAAACTTCACTTCCACAGTTAGACAGGACATTTTAGCAGCAAATGTTGCTTACCTCAAAAATGGGAGTGTCTTTGTTAGAAGCTGCAGTGAGCTTCCGAGGAATGTGGTCTTCGATCAGAGTCTTCAGAGGATCTTGCTCTTTCTTCAGCACTGATATAGCTGATGGGATCTGCAGAACTGGCTTGTGGTCAAGACTCATTTCGATAGGTAGTGAGCAGTCTGTGAAAGTGGTGTTCAAGCCAGGAAGCTTGCTCGGAGAGTTGTCCACCAACAGCAATGCTTCTTGTCCAATTCTAGAAATTAGGATTAGTGGCTTACTTGGCTGATGAAGAATTGTCGAAAGATGTGTCAATCATTGTAATAGATAAAATTTATTATTAAAATGCTTCCAAAGTTTATATAGATTCTGGCAAATAATGAGATCTTAGTGACATCACAGAATTCTTTGAAAACTTCCGAGCTCGTCTGAATATCCAAATACTACATTTCTGTATCTTTGAGATCTTCAGGTTTCTGGAGTCAGAGTGGGATCAAACTCGTCATTGACGAATTATCGAAGTGGATGTCACATTCAGTTAATATTGTTCAAGCCGACAACTTTGTGAAAACCTGAATTTGTCAACAACACGGCTAATCTGGAGCTAAACTGCAACTTTGGTAAAACTATAACAAAGATCGCCACATTCCTCCAGAATTAGCAATGGTGGGTTTGTAAGTTCAGAGTTGGAGAGCGATAGCCTTTTGTAATGTTTCTTAGCTATCTTTTACCAGAAGTATCTGGAAGTCTTCTCAACCTCTTTTATGCAATAGGCTATTAAAATTACCAACTAAAACTTTTTCCAAGTTTGCAGATCCAACATTGGATGGGCTCTTCAAGATTCTGAAAAGTTTAAAACTGACGTACTCGAAATGGAGTCTGTCGGGTAAGAACAGAAATTTAAATATTGTAAGGGCCAAGCAGGCACCTATAGACTTTGATTTTCTCATGAAAGCTCACTTAAATGTCAACTAGCACATATAATCTTTCTCACATTCTTCAGCCTCTCCATTGGTCTAAAATTTCCCTCTGACAGCGAAAGTATGTAACCTAAGTTGTCACGACTCTCAATTTTATTTTCATAACCTGGGGTTTTGGGGTTTTGGGGTTTTGGGG